TCCAAGTTTGGTAAAATGAGGAGCCAGGTTGTTTGGGGGCAATATGCTGGCACTGTAAACTGGCTAGAGAGGGCTGTAAAGCACTAGAAATGTTTCAGAACTTTTGTAAAAATGTGGGGGGAAGGGAACAGGGTTGGAGCAACAGTCTGAAACCCACTTCTGAAACTCAGAACTGATTGCCGAAAGTACCTCAGGCTTAAACCGACTTCCTCTTAGTCCTTTCAGAAGATTTTGAAAGGAAAGTCAAAGATCATCATATTTACTATTTATCCTGCCTTATTTCCAAAATGGTACACTAATTGAAGAAGTGAGCAAACACACTCCAACCTGTGTTCAGACAGGAAACAGGCTTGGAGAGCTTGAAATGGCAGAGTGAGCAAATACAATTTGATGCAAATGACTATTTGGTTATAGTTATCTTCCTCTTGGACCCAGTAGGTAGCAAGCGAAGGGGAAAATGTATTTACCCAAAGGCGACGGAATGAATAGAAATAGTGTGTTGGTTAAGTGCTAAGAGAAAGCCATATCGTCAAAACCGTGGGAAAAAGTCCATGTGTCATAAATGACTCAATTCTCTCTGGAGAAATAGATATCTGTTGGTCTCAATCAAACTTCACTGAAACAGCCGTCTTGTTTCTGATAAATTTGATCTGTTTTCCTTTCCGTTTCAGAAATGGTTGTAATGCTGAAGTAAGTTATGATGCTGAGCCTGGAGGATATTGATTGGTAGCTCGAATTCTGATTAGGTGTATTAATCCTCAAAAGCTGAACTCATGAGTCAACAAATACAGATTTGTTCCATAATCATACCCAATGGTTGGCAGGCGGGTTAAACTTATTCCAACTACCCTATTTGTCAAAACTGTGGCTTTTTGAAATGCTGATGCAACTCAGCTTCATTTTAGTAGGTCAGAAATGCAAATTGGAGGGGGTTCTTTTTCACCAATGGACCCATATTTAATTGCTGTGCCCAACAAAACCTGTCTGAGGTTTTTTTTCCAACCCTGCTCCTTCCATTTGGTATCAAGGTAGTATCTTTTGAACATCTGCTGGCAAAGGAGAAGAAAAACCTGGGTTATTTTTTGTTATTCAGAAACCGTTTAAATGTCTTCAGAAATGGAGTAGCATATGAGTAATAAATGCATCCTTCCTGGAAAATTCCCTTTTCATTTTACTGATACCTCTATTGATAAAAATATATGGTAACAATGCCTTATTCTGGAGTCACAACTCAAATTGTGGGTGCTCCAACATTTGCAGTTGACACAGCATCAAGGGTGATCCAGTTTCAAGATCCTTCCGGTGAGCGAGCCTTTGAGTGGCAACCCCCGTTGAGGTGTTTAAGTGATTTAGTTTAGTTTACTTTATTATCATTGTACATCGTACAACAGAATTAAATACCATCTTCAGTGTACTATACAGTAGAATTCAATAGTTACTGCCCTGGGATAGAAGCTGTTTTTCAGCCTATTTGTCCTTGTTTTTTCTTTCATTTTGGGCATTTTTGTTAGGGGTATTATTCAGGTAAGTGATGGGCTTGCAGCCCCATAACTATTGTTACAATCAACAAAACCTTCTGTTGAAGTCCACAGGTTTGGATGGACTAAAGTTGTAGGAAACTGGAACATGAGCCTTTTCAATCTATTCCCAAACTTCTCACATTTTTTGAGTCTCCATGCTAAATTCAGCGACTTATTTTTCTACCTTAAAATAATGCTGAAGTTATAAAATAGCAAAAGATGACGCCTTATTGGAAGAATCATTTTGCCCTTCGACGACTAGAGTGGGAATCTCCAATGTAGACTTTTGAAACAGTTCTATTAGCTGTTCTGATGCAGCTATCTCCCAGCCCGTGTATTTCACTACGTGCCTCTAGTTCTTAAAAATCCAAGCAGCTACCTTTTATAACAATTTGTGCTATAGAAGAAGCCACCCGGGTGGATAACGTTTTGCAAAATAAGTGAATCAACCCCGCATCTGTGGAAAAGATATTTAATTGTAAATAGAAAAGGTAGGCCAAAGACAGGTTTTAAGGGCAATTCTTCTGTATAGGTAATCTAGATGATTTATAAAGTTTATACGTTTCATAAAAGCACTGAAAGATAAACACAGCAAAGCACAAATCAAAAATACAAGGTATACATGGAAATAAAGGAGCTGCACAGTACTCTGAACAAAGGATAAAAGCGTTTGTAGCACTTGGTAATCTTTAAGGCAGTATGGTCTGTGAATTATCCGAAAGCCAACCAAAGCCTGGGTGTTCTTGGCTCTCTGTAGGTCAACATTTGCAGCAGGAAAGATACAGTCAACTACAACAACTGTGACTGACAAAGAAGGAAATATTTTTTTATAAATATTCCCTTACATTTGCAAAGCTCACACAAGACAGGATTAGGGGGAGGAGAGCCATCCCTTTTCTCCTTGTATTCAAATCCCATCTAAAATTATTATCTACCTTTCATTCCTTTCCATCGGCAGAGCAAGACTCAGCTGTGAAACCTTTAATAGGTCCCATAACATTTGTTCTGGCCTGAAGTCCAGCAGGGAACTAAGTGCTTACTTACCTATTATTTTGAGGATATATTAAAGTTTAAGGTCTAAAACACCCTTATTTCTTTTAACAGTAAACTTTTCATCTGTAATGGTACTTAGGGTTGCCTTCCTAACTCCTTGGTGTATTATCACAATACTATGCAGACCTAAACCACTCCTTCACAACTGAATGTAGTTCAACCCTGGCAGACTTCAAACTCTACATCAATCTCCAGCAGATATAACCGCTGATCATACTGGTTAACAAATGTGCGCGCTGAATATCAATAAACCTGGATGGCGTGGGAGGAGAGAGGAAAGACAGGTAAAAACTGAGAAATTTAAAACACCATTCACCAGAAATGCTAACAATTGTCTCCCTGAAGACCACACAAACTAAAACATAATCAGTGCTGTCCCAAGTTAACAGAAGGCAACAACCCAACTGCCACACAAATCTGCCCCTAGAGGTCAAGTCATGATTTAGGACAATCTTAAAATGTTGTTGTGCAGATAAAACAAGTGAAAATTACATGCACTTATGTGATACTGTTAAGATTGAGACGATGGGCACAAATATGAAAAAGGAGCATTTCCTCTCTAAGTTTTGTTGGAAGAAGGGAGAGCAGAGGTCCCAGGGATGGTGGCACAGCAGAGAAAATGTGGGTTTTGCTTTAGGTGGCTTCTAGATAAAACACATGCAAGGACTTCAGACTTTTCAGTTACCCCTGTTCCTTTTGCAGACAAAGTAGGAACGTTGTGAAAGAGATGAACCCAGTAACTGTGTCGAACTTTCTTACGCTTTAGCCTATCGGTATACAACAGCCACAATCATGGAGAGGAGGGTGAGGAGTCACTTAAAAAGCTGACTGCCCAATTTCCTCTCTCCAATCTCATGACCTTCAGCACTTTTGAGGGATGTCCCCTTGGAGAAGGGTGGCGAGATGCCATTTCCGGACCTCTGTCTTCAAATTAACTCCTTTCACTTCCTTTTTATTTATTTATTTATTTATTGACAATCTCTAGCAGGTGATAAAGCCTTTGTGGGGCACGTGCTGTGAACTGTTTTAGGAGGCCTGGTCATCGGTACCTGCTGTCAGGTAGTTAGTCAGATTAAAGGTATTGTGAGAGATGGGACACTTGTGTGCCATTTACCAACACATTTCTTGAAGCTCCAATTCCAGATATCAGCCTATTATCCTTGCAGCATCTGGAATTTGCATTTGGGGGGAAACGGAGGGGTGCTGTGAGGTGAGTGTTAACAACCTGTCCAGCAGGTGGCAACATAGTAGGGGGAGAGGTTAAGCTTAAGAGTTTTGGGGGAAAGGACTTGAAATTTGTTCTCCAACTGCAGAATTATCCCAGACCGGCTTGGCTGGTCACCCTGAAAATATGATTGGCTGCGCTAAGGGTAATATTTTCATATAGTTAATATATTACATGAATACTGGTTTTTGTTTTCTTTTTTTCTCCCAAGTTACATCCCTCTAAGAAATGTGGCTCCCGATATAAAAGAAAAAAGATCGACCCACGGTTATTCACTGGCTTCTTCATCCACCACCTACCCTCATGACCTAGAGCAGGGCTGGGCAATTATAGCAACTTTACGACTTGTGGACTTCAACTCCCAGAATTCCTAAGCCTGGCTCAGGAATCCTGGGAGTTGCAGTCCACAGGGCGTAAAGTTGCCATGGTTACCCGCTCCCGACCTAGAGGTTAATTTTTTTTTATCATAATTTTCCATCCTCTTTCCTGAAAAATACTTATGGAAGATGTATATAGAAATCATAAAAAAAACATGCAGCATATGTACAAACTGAAAATTTTTAAAAATATCAGCTTCATATACATGTCAATCTACTTGAATATATCAGGAATTAAATATAAAAAATTACACTTTTTCTTCCCTAAAAAAAGGGGAGGGGGTATTGTTCGGAGGCCTTGGCCAACTCCTTAAAGCTGTACAAAGGATAACAATAATAATCAGGAAATGAATTTTAGTCAAGAGATCTAATTCATAACTTTCAAGCTCGGTTCTGTCACATAATTCATTTAACACAGCGCAGTTTAAATCAACAGTTATCCTCCTTAAAACTGTTCTGTATCTCAGAAGATTCATAGTAAAATCAAAACGAAAAAAAAAATGTCACAAAAACATTGGCATTGCAGGTTTGTGGGTTTCCTTCCAAAAAGATTAAACAACTAATTTTGGAACTGTAAAAAAAAAACTATTTACAGTATTTCTTTTTTTTTAAATATTTTGCACAAAAATGTCTAAATTCTGAGGTTGGTTTTTCTTTTCTTTTTTTTATGATACAAGAAAATCACCAGAGCTCATGGCTTAAGTCCAGTAGCATCTTCTTTGACAAAGAATCTCAGTTCTGCACCTACAGCGATGTGTTATGCAGAGCCGGATTGTACTGCGGTTTTCTTATCTTGTATATACTAAGAATGCTCACTTCATTCACTCAAACAGCTTCTTTGCTAGTCTGGAGGCGGCTCATCGCCTCCAACTTCTGCCGACAAGCTTCTGCTTCTTGTTCTTTCTTCAAAAGCTGCTGGCGATACTTCTGGGCTTCCCGGTTAGCCTCGTCCAGCTGTTTTTGTAATGTTTCTCTTTCCTATGAAAGTCAATCAAAACAAGCATCGTGTTAACAGGGTGTCCCCTCAAAGGGAACTGACTGTTTTATCATTTCTCATTTCAAAAAGAAATCAGCTGCAAGAATTCTGGAAGAGAGCAAATTAGAGGCTCTTCTGAGTTGTGACTTTAGAAACCAAGCCTTAAAAAAATACTCTGTACAAAAACAGTGTCAACATTAAAACTGTTCTAAAGCTGTTTTATATTCTGGGAAGAAATAATTGCATATGTTATTTTGACTCTGAAATGTAGATTCCATTTGGCCAATTACAAAGAAATAAGCAGCTTTTAAAGAACTGGAGAGCGAGGTAAATGTTAAACTTCAAGCCTAGTAAGGAAAAATGAACCACGTATATACATTCTGCTCCTTGGAATAATATATCAGTAAAACGTCTGAGAGGGAAGAGATTACTCATAGAACGTATCATTGCTGTGGGACCATCCTTTTCAAAGGATGCTGCTGGAACTTGATCTTTTTTAAAAAAAAGCAAAACTATCTCGTGTTTTTATTTGATGAAGCAGAACAACTTTGTAGTTTATATAAAAAGACAAATTCAGTTCAAAGCAAGTGATTTTCCCCCCCTCTTCTGAACCATTTTAAACAAACTGATGTAAAAAGCAGCATACCTGCTTTATTTAAAAAATTGTCTCAGAATCACTTTGTTCTGACCTTTATGCAGCAAAAGCTTTTTTTTTAAACCTCCACGCTTTCACTAACCAATGAATGTCAGTCCTTCCATTGTAATCATCAGGTACTACTAAAAGAATTATCCGTGGCTTTACTGCAATGAAATAAGGAGGCAAAAACTCAATCTCTTTCCCTTCCCCTTCTCTCTACTTTCTCCTTCTCTTATTAACCATGTTCCAAGCCTAACTGAGTTTAACAGGAATTCCATCTACCTAAGTATCATGTTATCATTCTTAGCAAGGTTTTTTTTCCCCAGCCCCGTTATTTCAAAATCTTTCATACTTATTTTCACATTATCCCAGCCAAACTGCACTAATACAATGTAAAAGAAGAACAGGCAGAGCCTGGGGTTAGAGTCAAAAGGGGAATTAGCCTGGAGTTATGTTGTCACAAAAGGTCTAAGTCCAACCTGTCTTGAATTCAGTTAACAATTATCTAGCGCAAGGGGTGGGATTCAAAATGGCCCGGGGGAGGCCGTTTTCACCCTCCCAAGGGTCCTCCCCTGGCCTCTGGAGGCCTTCCGGAAACTGGAAACAGGCCTGCTTCCGGACTTCCAGAAGGCCTGTTTTTCCCCCTCCCAGAGCCTCCATGCACTTACCTCCATCAAAAGTGGGCCGCGTGGAGACCCCAGGAAGAGGAGGGGCCAGGCAGTCATTTAAAATACCAGTTCGGCAAACCAGCTGCACCTTTTAACATCCAGTTTGCCCAAACTGATCCAAACTGGTAGAATCCAACCCCTGTCTAGCGCCAATTTAGTGCCAACCATTAGTTCATTAGATTATTGTGTACAGGCAAGAACAATAAATTAGTTTAACTGGAATTTAATGTATGATCCTAAATACTCAGAAGAATTTAGGTGTTTCATCTAAACTCATTTTTATTAAGAGGAGAAATGTTAAGTGTTCACTACTACAGTAGTTAAATTAATAACACAGTTGTTAAGTGAACCTGGCTTCCCCATTGACTTTGCTTGTCAGAAGGTTGCAAATGGGGATCACATGACCCTGCAACCGTCATAAATGTGAGTCAACTCCTGAATTTTGATCACTTGGCCATGGGGATGCTGCAACAGTCCTAAGTGTGAAAAACGGTCATAAGTCACTTTTTTCAGTGCCGTTTCTAATGTGAAAAGGGTCACTAAACAATTGTAAGCTGAGGGCTACCTGTATCTTAAAAAGAAATGTAAGATGCAGTCATACATTCCTTACTTTCTTCAAGTACAAAAAAAAATTACAAAGCAAGACAACAAAAAACATTTGGTTTAGAAAATCAGAATAAAACGTCTCAGCTAACAGATTCCTTACTTCTATTTCTGCCGATTCCACCCGATTTTCAATGATCTCGATACATGGTCTCTTCATTGGAGGCTCTTCGCTGATTACTGTTTCTTCTGCAATGTCTGTGGCTGGTACTGTAAGTACTGGAATTGAAATAAGTTTGGATCAAAAACTACAGATGTTAACAGTGGTTGCATTTGGATCCTGGGATAGAAGGAGATAGATTTATTACAGATTGTTTATTGAATATATGAGTTGGAAGAGAACTTGTTATCTAGCCTAACTCTCTTGCTAAAGACAACTCCTAGCCTCTTGTAATAAATCAGTTCATTATCTTTTTTGCAGGCTCCAGGTGGGTGATTTAGGGCTAGTCACTCTATCTCAGAGGAGGAAGGAGCATTAGATATATTCATCACCTTGAGTTACCTTTTTTAAAAATAATAAAGGTAGAACAAAACCATTAAAAGACCTGGCTGCTTTAATGAACAGCAGAGGCGATATGATTCAGGAAATCCTGAAGCAATTCTTTGGAATAACATTTAAGCCGTGCACAGCCCTTATAACTAGTTTTGTTGTGTCGTGATTCCATGGGCAGAAATGAGACTGTAAAATGTGGAGTTCTTTCGCCCCATTCATAAGTGTCCTCCACAGTGCTTTACATTACACCCAATCCTATCCTTCATTATCGGTTTTCTCTGAAGGGCTTTCATGATGTTAACTTGAATTTAACCAACAAAATAGGACGAGGAAGAAGAATTCAGTACATTGGCCACCTTGAGTTGTCAATAAAAATAATAAAGGCAGGATATAAAATAATTAAATTTAAATATATGTTTTTCATTTTTTTAAAAAAAAAAACCCTTAAAAGTTCTGTACCTGGTTTCTACTTACCTTGCTGCCCATCTGGCATGGTCACTATAATGGGTTGACCCATTCCACTGGTGGGAATGGAATGAAGATTTCCAAGCTGTATCCCGTCTGTTACTATGGTGATAACCTGCTGGCCTCCAGAACTAACTACTTGTTGAATTGCACCATCCACAGATTCGGCAGTCACCACTTCTTCTGTAGCCACAACTTTCAAACAAATGAATAAATGAAACGTATTGTCAGGATTCCAGCAGTTACTCCAATTAAATCATGAGCCTCGAGCCACACTCCCAAAACTAAAAAAGATTTATTTGAAGGTAACATTCTACGTCCGGCATTTACCTGGGCGTAGCCAACTCTGAGATGTGTAATTCGCTGTTACCCTTGATCCTGCTTTCCCCACAACCCCTCTGGGTGTATCATCCAACAAAAAAACGTCCACAGCCCAGAGTCATCAATCATGCTCTCCAATTAGATTTTTGCATGGCAGAAGCTTCAGTCATCTAATCAGTCTTTGAAGAAAATATGAATGGAATGTACTTTCGATTCCACACTGCTGCCTGCTCTTTGACACCCACCCCCACTTCTTTCTGTTGTCAACTATAAAACGTGTATACAAAATGTTTTATGAGTTGACACGTATATAAGCAAGCTTGCTTTTTTAAAAAAAATGTAGAGGTAGGACCTCATGAAAACATGGCAGTATGGACTGCTCTTGTTTACTATTCCAGTGGAGTCAGTATAAGTATCTTTTATAAGAGACTCCATTCTATTGCATTTTCCCCCCATCAGCTGGTCCATCTTCTATGCAACCAAGCCTACTCATCCTCACTAGGTTTTGGGGATAATCTTTTCCCCACCTTTTCTCTGCTAAATTATTTTGTGCTTCTGCAAAATGTTGTGAGTTTACTGCTTTGTAGAACTAGCCCAAGCAATCGCACCGTCCTTATTTCAATCTTCATATCTAAGTGTTTCTTTTTTTATTACTTATACAACATTCCTCACCCTGAATATTGGAAATGAGGTACCTAGAAGTTCCAGAAAGTAAAGTCTTTTAATCCAACAACATCTTTACAAGTAAAATACAAGTTGCACAAATTCACAAAGAGTTTTAACAGAAAAAAAAAATGATGTTATTTGACTTTCAGATACCATGTGAACACTCATTATTAATTTTCCCCTAGGCTCTGGGAATTTATGTTCTAATTTGAGTTCATTTTTTCTGTTCCTCTTAGGTTTTAATGCAAGGAACCTAAAATATAAAGTATATCCCTACCAGTATCAGTTTCAAGAGCTACATCTACATGCATACAATATTATATTAAGAGCAAGCCTTTGAAGTTTATCAACAATCAAATGGACAATAAAAAAAGCTTTTTTTCAAAAGCTATGGTGTATGATTTATGACAGAAATGTCAGGCATCACATAAAATTTGAGCGCTTTCATCTTTGCCATGATTGCTTCCTTATTTACAGTGATGTTATTACTCAATCGTGGTCTGCAATTCTTGCTTGCGGCATATTTCTGCCATTACTGAAAGAATAATGATAAAACTCGGGATTTTATGAAAAACAAACTTATGCCATAGCAGAGAGACATATAAATGTGCTTGCTATGGCTGGCTCCCAGAACTTCTGAGATCATCATCACTTCTTTGTGCTAACACAGCCAACAGAGCCAATTAGTCCCTTCTACCAAAATCTGGAAAGCAAATGATCATACAGACGTATTCCCACTTGCACTGTGATTTACTAGAGGGAATTATGGGTTTGCAGGATTGTTCATTAGCTCCGTCTGCCATCTCCTTTCCTCAACAGTCACCTGGCAGCATTTTGCAACAGGCTGCAAAAAAGGGACACGTAGGAAACACAACAGGCTGTGTTAAAGAATCAGTTCCTTTACCTGCCTGGAGTATTTCCATTCTAGTCAATCATTCTGTATATGGGTTTGTTTTTCTCATCTTTCTAAGCCTGCGGGCAGAGACGGTCTCGTATATGTCAGCTACTCAGGAGCAGGCGATACAAAAGCTTTCAATAAATTAAGGTCAGGAATATTTTTCGGGAGGAAAAGCTCTCCACATGGCACTGTGATCTTTTACACAGATGAAACAATACCCCATAAACGCCGCAATCAACACATCACAAAAATTTGCAGGCAAGACATGATACAGGTTTTCTCCTTTTTAACCCAAGGGGTCAATCTCAAATGATAGAGAGATATCTAAGACCTCCTTTTCAAAACAAAACAAAAACAATTTGGTACTAAATATTTACTGTCAATGCTTTGTCCCTCTCCCAAACCTTCCAGAGAAAGAGAGTACAGTCAATTGATATATTTCTTTATAGCAAATAGGGATCCAAGCCAAGGCAGTTGGCTTTCTTGCTCTGCGTAGAAGTCTGATCTCCCTTCTATAGATTAGACTGCAGAAGGAGGCAACACTGGCTAAGGAAGCAAATTCAGAAGTCACAAGGCAGCTTATTTGTCTTAAAATGAACCTGACTCATAATCCACTAATGTTTTTTCTCGGAAATAAAAAAATGCCTTCTTTTTCATTAAATTTTATCCCCTTTATTCTTGGGCTAAAGAAATTCGATGACTTAAGTCTGTTTTTATTGCAAGTACACCACAAGAGAAAAAAACGACACCCAGCTTAAAAAAAACAAATTTGCAATGAAATATGATATTACATCAATGCTGAAAACTGGACTGTAAACCAAACCTGTTGGGTTTGGTTTTTTTACTACAAAACCTTATTTTTGGATTTATTTTATTTTTCCTCACCTGGAGTTTCTGATGAGTTGGACAGTGGAGCTGAGGCTTCTGCTAAGGCAGCCAGAGTTGCCAGAACTGAAGTTGAGGAATTGCCAAACTGGACAGCAGACACTCCACTGTCATCTATAAACACACAACCCATAAAATCACATCAGAAGGTCACATAAATCTATTCGCCCATTACATTTGAAATAATTTTCCCCCCAAAATCAGAATAATATAATCCTTAAAACTCTTGTTCAAACAGACCTCATTCAGCTCAGAAGCGAGCACAGATTTATTTCTCTTCAGGAGGCAAAAGTAGTCTCAAGTGAAATAAACTGAAGTGAGTGGCACCAGCAGAATTCCACAGAAACAAACAAATAGGAAAAGTGCTTTGACATCGAACGGTGGGCCCAAACCAAACTTTAGGCAATGTTAAACTCATCCCATGCCATTTGAGCCCACGTGAACAATCCAGAAGATGACAACAGTAGCAAAAGAAAGGACATATCTGATACGTTTTTAGCACAATCTAGGACAGGGGTGTCCAACTCACGGCCCGTGGCCTGGATGTGTCACATGCTGGCCGCACCCATGCCCTGTTTAGCGAAGGGGGAAAAGTCACGATACATCACATGATGCCGCCATGACGCTGCCAGTTTGACACCCCTGATCTAGGAGCACAAGGACCTACCAGGCAACTGGACACAACCAAACAACTTGTCTGCTGCCTGACCAAGAACAACTGTGGCTTGTATGGAAATCGCTAATGGAGTAGGAAGATCGATCTAAGAAAATGGGGATTCCCTATAAAAGACAACTGTATGTGAATATGGAGAACAATCTATCTCACATATGGGAAGGTGTGCATGATCACTTTCAACATGTACAGAGGACATTCTCACACTGGTGAGATAAAATGCTATCGGTGTGGCCCAATGCTGGACAAATGTCATTTAAATTTAATCGTATGTATTTTGCACATATATATTATATACTCGTGTATACTGCATGAGTCAAAAAGAGGGCTGTGAAAGTATTTACAGACCCCTCACATCCCGGACATAAACTGTTTCAACTCCTACCCTCAAAACGACGCTATAGAGCACTGCACACCAGAACAACTAGATACAAGGACTATTTTTCCCCGAACACCATCACTCTGCTAAACAAATAATTCCTTCAACACTGTTCAACTATTTACAAAGTCTGCACTGCTATTACTATTAATCTTCTCATCACTCATCACCCATCCCCTCCCACTTGTGACTGTATGACTATAACTTTGTCGCTTGTATCCTTACGATTTTTATTGACTGTTTCCTAGTATGATTTGATTGCTTATTATACCCTACGACTATTATTAAGTGTTGTACCTGATGATTCTTGACTCTTGACGAATGTATCTTTTCTTTTATGTACACTGAGAGAGCACGTGCACCAAGACAAATTCCTTGTGTGTCCAATCACACTTGGCCAATAAAGAATTCTATCTTCTATCTTCTTTTACATACTTTCTATGCATGATATAAATTTCTATGACCTATTTTATACTTATTTTACTTGCTCAGCATTGAATGTTATACATCTGTAACTTGAAAGTGCTTCTGATGCGAATAAAGAAAGAAAGCACGACCTTATTCCCAATTTAATAGAGTGAGCAAGCAATTTGCAATCCTCAGTCACAGTGAATATCTGCCATACGCAATACTAATTGCAGAGAATACTCCACCTGTTAGATTCACAACACCACCAGGTCCAATGATGAACTGTGGTGTGGCTGCGTGAATCGTCACTGTATCCGGACTCTCTGGATTCGTGTTGATTTGGTTCTGCATGGCGATCTATGACCAAAACAACAACAGTGTTTTGTTTTACACTTATTGGGGGTGGGGAATGTATTTTAGGATGAATATAGTACATAGCAGATGTTCATAAATTACACATTAAATCTCAGACAGAATAGCAGTCAACAGCTTAATGTAACCTATAGCTCATGCACAGTGTACTATTATTCACTAATATATATTCAACATGGAAAAATATCTGGCAGAAAAGTATTCAGAATAAATGCATCAGTTTCAAGACACAGAGAAAGAGGGAATGTAGGATGATATAAGAAACAAGGATGGAGGGCCAGGGTTTTGTATACATAACACAACAGCCTACAGCAGGGGTCCCCAACCTGGGGGGTTTGCAACTGGGCCATGGAAAAAGCCGACCAAGTGTGCATCATCAGGGGTGGGATTCTACAGGTTCGCATCTATTCGCTGGAACCGGTTGTTAACATTCTAAGTAGTTCGGAGAACCGGTTGTTAGAAGAAATTACTGGCCTAATCCTGTAAGAAAGGCAGGAAAGAAACATTCTGGTGTTGCTTACAGAAACTGCCTCTCCGTTAAGCCTTATTACATTCTTGGCAGGACTAGATTTCCTGTCTCAGGAACTTCCCTGGAGTTTTTATCCCCTCCTTTGCTAGTACTTTGCTTGTGTGGAGTGACCATTCCAAGTTACAATGGCACTGAAAAAAGTGACTTATGACCATTTTTCACACTTATGACCATTTTTCACAATCATGAGAGGCCAGCCGAGGAGATGCGTGCCTCGATATGAGTGATTTTGATTTGGAACTAAGCCATGGCCAAAGAACCACTTGTTAAAAAATTTGAATCCCACCCCTGTGCATCATGCACCCTCACTTGTGTGAGCAGTGGGTGAGCACATGCATGCATGCTCCATTTGAGCAAACAACAGGCATGCATGCAAGCCACTTGTGCAAATGGAGCTGCGTGCGCACTTGCCGGCCGCCTGCACAAACCATCATGTTGCCGCCACCACCCTGTCAGTCCACAAAATGGAAAACATTGGGGAACTCTGGCCTAGAGATTAAGCTGCAAAGTTCTGGAAGAGCCTAACAAATAGTGAGTTTTGAGTTACCTGTAGAATTTCTGCCAAGTCTTCATATCCATTGTCTATGGCAATGTCTAACGCAGTCTTGCAAAATTTACTTTGGGTATGGACATCTGCTCCGTACTTTATTAAGAGTTCCACTACTTCTTGATGATTGTGCTCTGTGGCCCAATGCAGAGCAGTCATTTTCAGCATGTCCTTTGCATTTACATCTGCACCATGCTACAAAACATATTCAATTAAATTTCTTTTCAAATGGAAAGAGGCAGCCAAAGTTAATTTTAGAGTTGGCATTACTTCAAGTATATATATTTAAAACGGTGCCGTTCCTTTTAAACTTTGTTTATGCTGTCCGTTTTCTTCTTCCAAGTTAATATACTGAAGATAATTAATGTAATTAATTAATTTATTATTGCCTTGAACTGTTGGGCAGACACATTTTCAAAACAGCTAATCTTGGAAAGTAAACAGCAGAAGATTAAAATCTGGTCTGCAATGATTCGCGTGCCTCCCTCAGCATGGCTTCAGTCATTTGTTCCCTTCAAAAATGAATCTCTTCATCTAAAAATAATGTCGATAAGAAAGCATGTGCTATTTTTAGCCTGATGAAATAAAAGAAAACCTATAATTTTCATTTTGATGCAAAAATTTTGTCCCGGTACTCAATGGCCCAACTAGAACTTATCAGTGTCGGAAAGTCAGGAGGATAGAACAGTATAATTGGCTGATCAACACCCGGGGATTCCCCAAATCCCAATCTAGTACCGTGATCTGGTTCAAGTCTTCAGTGAGGAGGATGCAAAGGAGGTTAAAATGCTCATTGTATGATTGTCTTTAACCTAATTTCAATCTCTATGTATTTTATGTCATTGCAGGGGTTTCTTTTCAAATGAGGGTGGGCAGCCTGTCAAGCCCGAAATTGTCATATGTGTAGCCATTTTAGTTAGGCTTAGTATATATTCTTTTTCTTACTTTCTCTTTGGCAGTCATGGGGGAAGGATTTCGGGCTTGCCACATTCCTAAGTGGGGAGGAGTGGAAACAGAGAGAGTTGTTTAGGCTAGGTGATTCTTCTTCCCATGGGAAACGACCTGTCCCTGCTCAGGCCCCTTGAGGTGGAGATTTATGACATCAAGCAACGTTGAATTACTTTTATTGGAGAATGTGGCTTTTGGGGATTGTTTCTAACTTCTAATATTATGGGGTAATTCCGGGTTGTGTTCAATCTGGAATTACCACGGACTTTGACGATTTGATTACCACGGACTTTGACGATTTTCCTAAATAAAAGAAATTGTCTTGGAAGATGAACTGTGCTCTTTTCTTTTAAAATGGATTTCATCACTTAAAAACATGACATGTGACTCACTACATCGTTTCATATGGGAAAAATTTGTTTGCTACTGATCGTGCCTCTCAGAACCAATTAACAATGAGTACCAGGGTGCTACCGTATGTCCTATTTCAACTCTGGTATAAGTAATAACAAAATCTTCTTACCTTAAGCAAAACTTCTACAATGCTTGCATGGCCTTCTGAAGCTGCCATGTGAAGTGGTGTCCGATCCACTTTGGTCCTTGCATCTCGACTTACTCCTGCTCGCAGTAGCACTTCGGTCGTTGAATAGTGGCCATATTGTGCTGCTAGATGAAGAGGAGACGTTCCCAACTGCAGCAGAAGATATTTGCACATAATTATCCTCTTATTTAGCAACATTAAAAATACCACATGCATTTTGGGGGTACTATTATTATTATTTTTTAAATAGAAATTCTTGGGTATTGGGCTGTTTTTAATCTTTATTATTTTCCTAACTTTTTGCTTTGAAGTAACTAATCTTTGCTCTACATAATCCTATAATCCTCTCCTATAATCTTTCCTTTCATCCTAAATTAGAAAGGAACTGCTCGCTCTTCTTTACAATAATGCTTTGCTCAATCTCACAAATATCCAGCTCTAAAGGAAAGTTGCATTTTCTTTTAATTAAACATAGTGTTGCAGTCATCAGGCAAGCAATACAATCATCTTGATTTGATGATGGCTAAAATCTCACAGTGATTATGATGGTCTTACATTCTAGCCCAGCAATTTTTTCATGCTCATCAAAACCAGAAGGCAATATTTTGAAAAAACGTGATGAGCTGCTGCATTCTACCTTGTCCTTTTGGGAGGGAGGGTGTCCTATTGGATCTGATTCCCCAAAATAGGAAACAGAACCAGAAAAAGTACTTGTTGAGTTGTTATGAGTAGCTATCCCCACTTCGAAAAGGCTGGACTCTAAAATCCCAGTTCTAAGCCAAGGTTTGAAGTTTGGGAAGAATATGTCAGAAGTTGCTACTTAATACTAAGCTTTTTTTTTTTTTTAGCAAAAACTAAATAATGAGGGCAATTGGATAATACGTTCCAGCAACTTTGTTCATGAACAGTAAATCTGCCTTCTTGTTATCACAGCCCATGATGAATATTTCCACACATGACCAATCTAAGAAAAAAACTATTAACTGAAAAGTGGAACATCATCAATATTTCAATAATAAATAAACTTATTGGGCACCAACTTAATCTGGATGAACAATTAATGAAAGCAAGAAGCACTTATTTGACCCAAGGCACTCTGGCTGCAATTTGTATCTCCATGATCACATTATTCAAATCTGAAAAGAGTCGAAGGGGGAAGGAAGGTGAGATGGCATAGCCTGCTGGCTAAGAACCATGAACTTTGCCAAGCCTCTACCGATAAATAGCAAACTAATTCACTTTACTGTTATGTTGTAAAAATGATAACAGGGTAATATTTTTACAGCAATAGCACTTAGATTTATATACCGCTCCACAGTGCTGGACAGCTCTAAGTGGCTTACAGAGTCAGCCTCTTGCCCCCAATAACCTGGGTCCTCATTTTACCGACCTCGGAAAGGATGGAAGGCTGAGTCAACCAGGATCAAACTCCTGGCAGTTAGATTGCATTTGAATCACTCTGCCACCACACTGTGTTTTTATATTAATATGTTATAAATGAAAGCCAGTTTGGCATACTGGTGTAATAGCAGCAAGTCAGAAACCAGGAAATCATGGTCTAGTCCTCTAGGCACAAACCACCAAGTGATTTTGATCTGACATCTTAGCAAGAAAAAAATGGTAAGCCACTTCTAAAAAATGTTACCAAGAAAACAGCATGGATTTGTCCAAGCAGTTGTTAAGAGGATCAAACTAAAACAAAAACTATATACAAAGTAATAGTAATGAAAGACAAAAATCAGAACCAGAATTTCTTTTTTTTTAGATTATCACCTACATTGATAAACTTAAAACATTTCACATAATCTAAAAAGTCCAGATTAATCAGCACCTATTCACCTCGTAATTCGTCCACTGTACCTCATACCTATTATTAAACATTCAAATTTAAACCATTTTCTGAAGGAAAAGATGAAAATTCCCTTGAATCACCTGTGCTTCCTAAGGACAACATGCATACCTCTGTGTAGTTTCCTTGACATGAAAAGAGCCAACAAAATAAACACTGCAAACACAAACTACCAAACATGTGAAAATCCAGGTAAGTGGATTTTTTTAAAATGGTGTTTTACCCAATCTGTAGTAAAAGGTGCTCCATTGGCCATCAAAATGCGAACTTCATCATCTTGGCCAGCTCGAGCAGCTTCTAAAAGCTTCTTTCCCAAATCTACCAAGGACATCTAAAAAATATTTGAGATTTAAAACAATTGTTGAATGTAAACAATTTATAAAAGTAGCAAATACTACCATCCTTCTAGCTTTTAATAAACTGGAACTTCTACATGAAACAGAACATACCATAGTCAAAGCGTGCCAGCAATCTTGCCCGGAGAAGTCCTATAAAACAAATAACTTGGTAACATTTTGTCTAGTTTTGCTTGTTTTAAAACTTTTCATGCCGACTCCTTAATTTATATTGACCTAGCAATTTACTACGATGTCCAGCTCTTGATAGGAGACAGATAACTGGATAGTTTTGTGGTGCAACAACACAACACTAGTGAAAAACAGCACCTTAATCATAGTAACTGCAGCACCTTCACTATTTGAATGTTTTGCAGTAAAGGAGAATGGTTGCTGACTGTTTTTGTTCAGTTTTAGGTTTCTAGCCTGGTAGTGGTAGTTAACCATTGCACCAAAATGGCTCTCTATTTGATTATTTAAATCTCTTGATTTTTAGAAATGTATCTTTGTAATGTTTAAGATACACTTACGTCTGTAGCCCTTTATCATATGTGATTATAAAATAGATTTAATCAGGTTTGAATGACACTGCTTATTTGTAGAGCTTTCTTTCTATTCTTGTCACTTCTTTGATCAGCTTAGATTTGTAGCCAGGGCAAAATTTCTGCATGACCAATGGAACGTTGGGCTGCCATCTACTCAATCAGGAATTGACTTTCTGAGAGCAAAACCAGTTAAACTGGGTGTTCCATGTGCTTACTTCCAGCAACAAGTACCATTTACAAAAGCACATGGAGAAAATGAAAAACTAGCTTACTTGTTAGGATGCCAATGTAGACATATGTAGGACTAAGCCCCACTAAATGTGGGCTTCGGCTACATAAATGCTGGACAAGCAATTATTTAAATGTTTGCATTCCTAAGTCTAAGCTTTTATCAAGCTACAGTGAAGCTCTGAATGAAAGTTTTAGTGGCATTAGCATTTAGAAATTCCAATTGTTTCTGCTCAGATTCAGAGCTCTAGAATGCTCTTGAACGCTGTGATTGTTGTTGTTAGTAAACATATCCCTCTATCTTCAGAGGCCTTCTGTTCTAGTTCAAATCCAGAAACCACTGTGCTTCATCTTGTAAATTCATGGCTAGATAATAGCATATCTGGAAAGGAGCAACATGTAACAACGGGGAATACTGTCATTCCTTTGCATGTTGCCCTTGACAGCTTTCAGGAATCCAAAATATTTTTATTTGCGCTGGTTTGCAATAAGTCAGGTACCAGTTGTAAAAACTTGGGAATACTGGCATGTTTATTTACGAGAAGAAATTCCTAAATGTTTATTATGGCCGTTTGAATATTCATCTCTCTTACTCCAAAGGTATGCTAAATTCCAAAGAACAAGCGGCAAATATTTCCTATGTTCAAAATCCACTTTGGCCCTAGTTCCTCTTCCTCAAGTGATTAATAGCTAATTTTCTCATTTATTAAAATTAGGTTTCCTTGAAGGCTATAAAAAGTAACGGGAGGGGGCACTTAGCGGAGAATTACTTTGCCAAACTGTTAGAGCAATGCAGTATTAACACCATAGCAACCAATTGTAAAGATTTTTTTACTCGTGATAATTGCTTGATTTAGAATGTATTTATATATCTTTTTTTTATTTATTAACTTGTTTATTTTGTAGCCCTTTCTGGTGTCTGAGAGAATCTGGGAAGAATATGAACGGAAATGGGAACTTCAACCAATATCCATGGCAGGACATAGCAGTCGGTAAACAAGGATCATATCTTTTTATTTATTTTGTCAAGCGATTATAACAGGTATAAGTATAAACATGGTTATGAATACATGAAATGTATACATATAAGAAAAAGAAAAAAATAGGACAGGGACGGTAGGCACATTGGTGCGCTTATGCACGCCCCCTACAGACCTCTTAGGAAAGGGGTGAGGTCAATAGTAGGCAGTCTAAGGTTAAAGTTTTTGGGGTTTGGGGAAGAAACCAGAGTCAGGTAGAGTATTCCAGACATTGACCACTCTGTTGCTGAAGTCATATTTCCTGCAGTCTGTATCTCATTATCTCAATACTGGAATTCATGAAACTATTCATTCTTGATACTGTACTTGGAACATGTCAGAAATCAGTACAGAACAGGGGCGCTATTTATTTTTTTTGTGTCTCAGCAGTGCATCCTAAATTTAAGTTAATAACTTTTAAAAACGCAGGTACTGAGCCAACAATGAACTACTTACTATCCAAATCTTAAACATTTTCAAGTCTACTTTTCTATTCGGGGACCATAAAGGAAGATTTTTGGTCTTTTGTTAAATCCAAATTGGCTGCTTCTTCCACATCAAGGTTTATAATCAAGCATTATTTGAAAGTAACTTTGTAAGTGGCTATAGACCTAACATTAACTCACTGGTGTTCATGAATTATGGCTTGCTCAAATCTGCATGGTTTTGAAAGAGTTATGTGGGAATGAAGTCAATATTGACCATGGATTTGTCAATGTAATTTTTAGACTTAATTGCTAAGCGATTTTGTAATACTAGTTTCTCTGTTATATTCTTCTTTTGACATGCTGGAGAAAATGGCTAGCAATGCAATTCCAAGCCTCTCCTAGTGTAGGAATATATAAAATGGTGGTATAGCAATGCTGGGTATATATTTGTATCTTTGATATTTGAATAGATATGCCAGGATTTCTTCCTCTTAACTACTTCAGAATTGCAATGACTTTTCCCATCCCACCATGTTGTTTTTAATATAACTTTATATAACATCCTCAGCTTTTTGCCTGGAGGCACTCAAATTAAAGTGCTAATCATTTTTCATGTGGAAGGACAATGTACCTCATTATATTTTAAATGCCTATCTTGTTGGATCTTGGAATTCTAATAAAATGCAAAGTACTGTAGATTCTGTAAGTATACCCTCCACTGATGTCAGCATGTCCCCATGACACACTGGTTATTCTGGCAGGTTTCACAAACTGAGCCAATTGACTTCAGAGATGAATTGGCTCAACTCCCGTTTCAAGGGGGGCGGGGGGGGGGGGAACGCTGCAATTCTGCAGCATTTCCTCTGAAGCTGCAGAGCAGGAAGTTTTCCTTGGGTTGGATTCATCCCTTCTCCTGTCTCCTATGGTTACACTGCACCTATTGAAATGAAGGGGTGCCTTACTGTTCTTTCCTGTTTTCTGGCTAGGATAAGGGGTGGTTTTGAGTAACAGCCCATGAGCAAATGCAGAAAAAAAAAGAAGAAAAAGGAATGAGCAGGGTGCCAGCGAAGTCTCAAAAACGTTTATGACCAGCTGGAGGAGGCCAGGTCAGGCAGGCAGGGAAAGGAAATCAACCGGACCAGCCAACCGTAACCCAGGGGCATACTGCACTCGCACGTGGAAAGGTGTGGGAGAATGACATTTTATTAAATCAAAACACACAGTAAACGGATGGACAAGGATATGTCATCACAAAATTAGTAACTTATGGAGAAAAATCTCATCAAAGTATTGTCAAATTTTACTTATATTAATTACTAAGTAACTATTAAGTACTCTTAGTAGTATTATATTTTTGCAGTAATGTTAATCAATCCAGAGCTGTTTGCTTGTTAACGTTTTGAACTGCATTCATACTGAGGAGCCAACTTCACCGATTTCAACTGGGTTTACTTTATTCAAAGTAAATATGGGCTAAATTTGGGCTAAATTTCAGTGTTTTAAGAGCCTCTTGAAAGTGAATACATGAGATCATCTTTGAGTAAATCATGAATTGGGGGGAAATCTGAAGAAGTGTAATTTTATATATGCATCTTCTTAGAAACAATTCAAAACTCCTATCTCTATACATGGAAATAAAAATACCTCTTAAATTCAATTTGCAGACGGCTGAAAAACTAGTCTCAATTTTTTATCAGAGGAATAGCTTTATTGTAAAAACAATGAGGCTACAGGAAGTATCTAAACATTGCTATTCAAGGAACTCCTCAAAGGTTTGAGCTCTATACCCAAGCTAATTTGATGCAATAATAATAAACTTAAATGGGACTTGCACAACCCTGAGTATCACATACAGTATACAAATTTAGGAATTCCAGAAATGACAGCTTCTATTCTGAATATGTAAAAGAAATGGGACTGGCATTCCATTTCAGAAGAACAGCATTTACCATTAAATGAGTTCCAAAAAAAAGTTAGATCAGACTGTTCGACCCTTGAATTACTCTCCGGGGCTCTGATCAGATTTAAATTAAATTTAAAGTGAAGTAAAGGAAAAGGCAACTGTGCTTAGCTGAGGAACTGTGATCCATAAACCACAGCTCAACAAGCCAGGGCTCGATTCAACAGGCCAATTCTTTCAGGAAGGAGAGAGAAGAGATCGCTTAATTACAGAGGAGGGAAGAAGAAGAAGAAGAAGAAGAGATCCCGTAGAGGAAGTTCCGAGTTAGAGGCCGGTGACAAGAGGGGGGAGAGGAATTTATAGAGCAGCCGAAACACGTGTCTTGTGGGAATCGGTTCCTTGGGATTCCTGGAAGGGGAGGATTCCGAAGGCGGCTGCAGAGAGGCCAGAGGCTCTTGCAGCTCGCACTAACCAAACTTGGGAGCAGCCAGCATTCATTCCTCCCTCCCTCCCCAAGAAGGAACAGGCAAGCAGAGGCCATCTAGACATGGCTCAAGCCCCATCCCAGGAGACCCAACTCCGAGGGGGTTATTCCGGGCAAACCCGCAGACCCACCCCACCCAAACCCCCTTCCTCCCAAGCCTCCCCCACGGATTAAACCCCCAACCACCCCTTCAGATTTTAAAGCCTAATTTTGGAGACGATCAACCCCCCGCCACCCGAGGAAGGGGGGGGGGAGAGAAGAGAAGGGGGCGGCCGGGATCGCAGGGTTGGCGGGGCGGAGCGGGGTGTAGAAGGGTGGGGGGGGGAGAGAAAGAGACGGGCCCGACCCGCGTCGGTGGGAGGGCACGTGTGAACGCCTGTTGGGGGGGGGGAGATCCGGGACAGGGGTCGTCAGCCCCTCCCCCACCCCGGGCTCCTTCCCGCCCGGAGCGCGGCCTGCCCGGCCTGCCCGCCCCCCCCACACACGCGACACCCGACCCCGCCTGTCCTTCGCCAAGCGGCGGCCCCCGAGCGCCAGATCCCCGGAAGGCCTCTCCCGTCCCCGCTTTTTCCCCCCGACAGGAAATCCTGGCTGGGAAGGAGCGGAGGGAGCCGCGGTAAGCGCCGGGTTCCGGGGGAAGTGGAATTATTTTTTACCAGCGAAGAAGAGATCAACTTCCACATCCGGTAACAAGGGCCCCCTCTATACAAAAAAGGCGCAGACTGACCTGGAAAAGCTTGGCCGGCCCGGCCATGGGAGGTGAGGGGGAGGGAGGGGTGGGGTGGGAGAGGAAAAGGAAGAAGGGGAAGGAGGAAGGGGCCCTCCCCCTTACCGTGTCGCCCGCGCCCGGCCGCCGCCCGACCGAACGACGAGCAAGGCCGCCCGGAGCCCGCCGCCGCTTCTCATAGGGCGCCCGAAAAGCCCCGCGAAAAAGTCCCCCGCTCGGCGCGCGGCGGAGGGACACGGGCGGTCGCGCTGTTTGCGAGCGCTGAGGCGAGGAAGGAAGGAGGAGGAGGAGGAGGAGAGGCCTGCAGGGGAAGAGCGGCGGCGGGAGGAGGAGGAGCAGCAGCAGCGGCGCCCAGGCACTGAAGCGGCGGCGGCGGCTTCTGCTCCTGCTCCGCCGCGGTCCTCTCGAGGCGCTGCTCCCCTCATGGGGGCACGGGGGATTATCGGGTCGCCCCCCCCCCCAACGGGCGGTAACAAAAGGGGGGGAATGGTTGTGGGGGGGGGAGAAGGAAGGAGGCTCGGCGGAGGGATACGGCTACCTGAGAGTCCGACTGCGCAGGCGCGGAGCCCGGGAGAAGGGGGAGAGCCAAGGCGAAAGAGGGAGCCGCCATGTTCTGCCGAGACGCTTTTTTTCTCTCTCCCCCTTTCCCGCTCGAAAGGTGGAGGGGAGCAGCCGGCGCGCCTGCGCGTTGTGGGGCCTGCGAGAGGCGCCTGGGGTCTGAAGTGGTGTGAGGCGCTTCGTCTTCACGCAGGAGTGCAAAGAAGTGTGACACACACACACACACACACACACACACACACACACACCTACCTACCTACCTACCTACCTACCTACCTTCCCCGTCCCGTTTGCGGGGTGGGTGGGCTCCAGTGGGGGGATGAAAGGGTGACATGCAGGATTTAAATCTTGCTACGCCCTTTCAAACTCCTGGACGCACCTCCACCAGGTCCAAATTAGCCTTTGCCTTTGACTTTTTTAAAAAAAATTTACAGACTGCAAAGAAATAAACCCTGACAAAGTCCTTAAAATTGCAAGGAGCTTTTTACCCTTCTGTGGTCTCTGCCCATTATTTTGAGTTGCGATCTGGGGCTTCCAGATGGCAGCCTAACCTACCAGCTTAATAATGCACCTTGATTGTGCAAGAAAAAGGCAGAGATTGGAGCTAAGAAAGGGTGCAAACCGTTAGTCCTCGGCTTAACGACCACAATGGAGCCCCAAATCTATGTCGCTGAGTGAGAAGTCTAAAGTTTTGCCCCATTTTACATTTTTTCTTGCCATAGTTGTTTAAGTGAATTGCTGCAGTGGTTAAATTATTAGGAACATGGTTGTTAAGTGAATCTGGCTGGCCCCCATTGCCTTTGTCAGAAGGTCGCAAAAGGAGATCACTTCACCCCAGGATCCTAAAACTGTCATAAACGTGAATCAGTTGTCAAGCATCTTGAATGTAAATCGCATGACCATGGCGATGCTGCAAGGGTCACAAGTATGAAAATGGTCCCAAGTCACTTTTTTCAGTGCCATTGTAACTTTAAATGGTCACTAAGCGAACTATTGTAAGTTGAGGACTGCCTATACAGAGGTGTCCAGGCTTTTGGAGCTCTGCTTTTATAATCCCTAACAATGACCCTGGTAATATGGTTCATTACATAGCTGGCCAGATGTTTAGTTTGGATTTGATTTTTTTTTGTCCAAATATCGAGTCTTTCCAAAGAATCCAGATATTGTTTAATATTAAACATTGCAGGATGTAAACTATTCCAAGCAAAGCTGCCTTTTGCAATTGATTGCATAGGTGGCCAGATGTTTAGACTAGATTTGCCTTTTTTTTTTTTGTCCACATATTGAGTCTTTCCCAAGAAGCCAGATGTATTTTTAATATTAAGCATTGCAGGATGTAAAATATCCCAACTAAAACTGCCTTTTCCAATTGACCCAGTGGTGATTTTGTCAATGCAGTGGTTGTTCAAATGGTTTTGAGATTGCATTCAAGGCTCCTATTACTCTTGGTACTCTCTTCTTTTGCCAGGTTTATTTTACTTCTATTTACTTATTTTCTCCAGTCTTTCTTTTGGGCTGTATTGCAATATCCGCTATCCAGAGATTTTTTTGGTTGTGTGGCAGATGTTCTCTGCTTGAACTCCAAAGCCTCAGCAGTTTAGCTTCATTTTCTAGTCACCAGGAGCCAGTGCTGACTTGAAAGCACAATATTATTATTATAGCTACATCGCAATGTGCATTATTATATATAACCTAGGACTGATGGCGAACCTATGGCACATGTAATTTAATTTACAGAGCCATTTGTGTGGGCACGCGAGCCCCAGGCAAACTTACTTCACTGTGCATGTGTGCGCCTCACAGCTGATAGGCCTGTATCGTCACTTCCTGTATTTCCGGAAATACTGGATGTGACTAAATGGCCCCATTTTTCGGCCTGCAAAGGCTGCAGAGGCTTTCCTCAAGCCTCTGGGAGGCCAAAAAGGGCCTCAAACGAGTTGAAAATTAGCTGGGAGGTGCAGTGCAGTTAATGGGGCGGCGGGGGGAGGGAGAATTGCACGTGCATATGCAGGGGGCAAGGGCATGCGTATTGCCTTCTGGGTGCTGGCACGCAGGCGCCAGCATGCACACAGTTTTTGGCACAGGAACCCAAAAAGATTAGCCACCACTGACCTAGGAAATTGTTCCATATGTATCAGATACTATAATGCTAACTAGTCTTTGTTTTTTGTTTCAGGCAACTGAAACAATTTGAAGATGAAAGGGCGTTTTCATGTCTTTACATAAGAGGATCCTTTATTTACTGATGGATCATTTTGGATAAATTCTAAAGGCCATCCAATTAGTAGACAGAACAGTGGCTAACTTACCATGAAGATACTCAAGTAAGAAAATATATCCCATTACTTGATATAGGAAAACAACCTAGTGTTGACATACTGGATTATATACAGAATTTCTGTGATTTGCAATGTAACTTGAACTTCATTTAAGTCCTATCAGTAGATAAAGAGATTCTGGTTAAACAACATATGAAACAGTATACTGTGTTGTGTCTTTGTTAAACACAATTAATATTCAGTCTTTATTGGCAAATGTACGTGAAGCATCAGTAAGTTAAATTACATGTTCTACTCAGTTACAATCATGCTTCTTCACTGACTGATAGTTTTATACTGTATTGCATGAATTGTTTCGTTCAAGTCATGCCGTATTTTGGTTGAGTTAAAATCAAAAATAGATATTTTTTTGGTTTAAGCTATCTAATGTAAATTGACTGAGTTTAGGAAGATTGTGCTACATGACCCATGCTCATTTAATATTCAGTTTCCAGACAGATATCCTGAAATTCAGTACAATTTTTTAATATGCTCCAGAATCCATTGTGAATATAGCACAGTATATTGTTTTGTTGTTATTTGTGTAATTAAAATATTTTTGTTAGCAGAGCTTAGATAAAAGAACAGAGAAATGAAGTTTATGAATGCATTTACATTTTCAGTGACGAGGAAATCTGAAAAGCAAGCTGTACAGATGAGAATTATTAAAATTATATGCTCATGTGGTTAAAAAAAAGAGAATTCAATTTACATTTGGGACATTGTCCCAATGGTCCATCTGAGAGTATCCTGCTATGATAAATTTGCAAGTTTTAACAGAAAAAAAGGTGAGATAAATGATAAAAACTTTCAAGAAAACATTTTTATAGGAAGTTTGAAATTGTTAAATCTGATTTCTGAAAAGTTGATTGTTAGGCTGATGCATTTGGATGGAATGTAGACTGTGTAAATTAACATGGTGCGATATCAAAAAATCATTTGAACTCAAAACAGTTCTATTAGCAAGCTGGAAGTCAGAATCCTGGGACTGATTTGCCACTACTGTTACTTCAAGCTCCTGGAGAAAAGATGAAATACAAGTGCTACCAGTAATTATAATAAATAGGATCTACACAGTGTATGCCACTGCAGAATAACCTTGAATAATAATCCTTTCCCACCTTAGAATCTACCATGAATTGTTTATTATTTTCTGTCTTTAATAAAAACCATATTCTCAAAAGTTTACAGATTTGAATGAAGCTGATTTTTAAGTCACTTGCCTTCTCTATTACATTCCACTTATTTCTGTAGAATATTTATATGCCCAAGACATTTAATTTTTTCCTAATTTGTGATAGTTTGTAAAAGCTACCTTTGCCCCTCATTCTGTATTACACATCAAGGGTCAGTTATATTAATAACATTGAATAAATTCACATAGCAAATTAAAATATGATGGGCTGGTTTATGAATCTAAGCATTTAGATTCAAAAAACTAATTCAATAAGTCATGGATAGCATGTATAAATATAGTAATATTTTATTGGGGCTTTTACATGTCATTTGACCTTTACATATCATTTTACATGTCATTTGACTTCTTATAGCAAGCAAGATTAGTTACATTCTGTAGTAAACAATTACAGAATTCTTGTAAGAAGTACTATACCTCACAAACTATAGAATAAGTAACTGTCCAGTTTAGGGGATAATTTCTTAAATTAAAATACTATTAAGAACTCAGTCTTGACCACTGATTTACCAAAATTTAGAGTAATCATAAAAGCCTTTGCTCTTCCAGAACTCAATTTGTAATATTGCCCTGTTGTGTTTATCAGGAGTTAGATGGATAGTTTCTATTTGCATGGTCTTGTACTGAAGAAATTAAAAAGTTGATTAAGGGCCTCCAGTCTTGCATTGTACTACTGTTCGTACGATAAGCAAAATAGACGAACATCCAGTTTAAATTCCATTACTGTAAGTGATCTAGCCTTCTAAGCGTCCTCATTGATTTTGCAATTGAAGGCTATTGTCTATGTGTACAATTTGAGATCACTCGTTTCATTATTTACACATCATTTTTAAAATGCCCTACCAAGGTAATTCATAAAGCATTAAAGCACAAAGCATCTCCATATATGTAGTGTAATTAAATACAGTTGTGAAGTACCAGACCCATCTGATGTTCCAAGTCATTAGCCTCTGGACTACAAGGGCAAGTCCTTCGCTCATACAAGTACATGCAGATGTTCTGATCCAGGGTGGAAAGTTCTATTTTGGCCAGTGGGTAAACTGGTTTCAAATACAGAATTAATTATCCCTCCCTTCCCCGTTGGAGTTTGCTGGGAAAAGTCTGAGAGCCCTACCTTTATTACATCCTCTAGCACAGTGGTCGCCAACCAGTGGGCCAGGGACCACTGGTGGTCTGTGAGAAAATTTTGGTGGTCTGCAGAGAAATGTCACCCCCAAAGCACCC